GCCTTTGGCATCCTGACCCCCACGGGATGAAGAAAAGCAAACCGCTGTCTTGGCTCAGTGGCTTCGCATACCTACGCTCTTTTCATCCTTCTGTTAAAATGTAAGGCCTATACAGTCCCACATGGACAGGGACTCCTGAGAAGGTAGTTGGCAAAGTGCTTTTGATCAAAGGTGTTTTCTTCTGACCAGGCTTGGTGGTACCTGCCTGTCATCCTAACCAGGTTAGTGAAGAAAGACTGAAAGTTTGAGGCCAGCCTGAGCTACCTAGTGAGAAAGACACTTACTTAAAACATAAATTTGGTGAAGTGCCTGCCTAGCATGTACGAAGCCCTAGATTTAGTCCTCAGCATCAAATAAAACTGGGTGCGGTGGCTCACCTTTAATTCAAGCACTTGGGAGGGGGATGTGGGAGATTAAAAATTCAAGGCCATCCTCAGCTCCTCAGCAAGTTCCAGGCCAGTGCGGGCTACATGATACTATGTCCAAAAATAGAAATAATAAATTTTAAAAACACAAAATTCTCCTGAAATCATACAATATATTCAATTTTTACCAATTCCCCCATCTTCCTCAGGTCATTAAGTCATGGCTTACCATCTCAGGGGCCTTTCTGTACTTGGGATTAAAACTAAGATTAAGGTCAGGATCAATACAGTATAGAAAACAGTAGCTTCAAGTCAGGTGGAGTGGTGTATACTTGTAATCCCAGCATGGGGGTGGGGGTTAAAGCTGGGGGATCATGAGTTTGAGGCCAGCCTGGAGTATGTAGTGAGGCTCTGGTTTTTGTTTGTTCGGTTTTTGCTTTTAAAGGAGAAAAATGGAAAGAAAATGAAGGAAGGAAAAAAAGAGAAAAACACAAAGCACTAGTTTTATTCTGGAGACTTACTCGGCTCACGTGGTCATATCTCCAGCTCTGGCTATGATAGCTAGCCAACCACTGCTCCCCTAGCTGAAAACGTTGGATTCGACCAGAAGGCAGGCCCCCGGGGGTAGCAGTCCAGTCCAAAAAGCAAGCCATCTTGGCTGCCTCTTTTCTAGACCCCAACTCACAGGAATGTGGGAGGTGGGGGAGCAGGATGTCCTTGGGAAAGCAGCTCCTGGGACCACCCTGTGCTTTGTGGATGTTTATTCCCCCTCCTGCTTTTCCCTCAAGTCCTCAACTCTTCCCTCAGTGTCTAGCCAGTTCAACATATGCACGCAGAATTGTATGTTAACAAAGAACGTTCCCTTTTTTTTTATGATTTTTGTTGTCGGGTCCCAAGCAGCTTGCAGCGGGGTGTGCTGGTCCTGGGGACAGTGAGGTTCCTTGACTGGGAGAGCAGCACAGACCCAGCCAAGCGGCGAGTGGCTGGGCAGGCGACAGTGAGTCCCCGGAAGGTGCAGGTTCCCGGCAGTGAGGGGGTGGGCAGGCAAGCGGGTGGGAGACATGTGGATAGACACATCGTGACACATCGTACTTATTTATTACTTAGAGGAGAGAGGGGGGAGGGAGAAGGAGAAGAGGACAGAGAGAGAAAGGAGGAGGAGAGAAGTGGGGAGAGAGGCAGAAGCGAAGCTGTCTCTCCGAGAGAGAAAGATGGGAAAGAGAGGGAGCTCAGGCCGGAAGCTGGAGATCAGCCTGCCTCAGCGGATGGGGGAGGGAGTAGGTGTGGCTTGTCTCTTAAAGAGACGAAAACCATAACACCCATCATTTGTGTGTACATACCTCTCTCTTTGAGCTGCAACACCAAACCCTGCTGACGTGAAGACCCTGTCACTCGATGGGACGGTTACCCCGAGGGGCTGTGCTACAAGTACCTGCATGTGGGTGTTTTCGGTGTAGGGCTTGGGAACGCAACCCTTTCTTTGCAGATGTTTTGAGGGTGAGCACCAACTGCCTTAGCCTTTGTAACATCAGATCAGACAGAAGAGGACGGAGACCCTATAACCAGGTAACCTTACTCTGTTTCCCCAGAACAGTGCGCTCCTCCTCCTCCTTTACAGCTTTCTCACCCTGTCCAGTTCCCATGGCTCTCCTATACTCAGAAGCCATTGAGCCCAGTATCTCAAGCCTTTGCACACTCCAGGGACTGCAAGGAAGACCATAATGGCAGCAGATGACATACAGGCTACCAGAAGACTGCCCAAGCCAGAGGAGTAAAGAAAGCTCCTGGCCAACCCCTGCCAGTGATGGCTTCCTGAATCAGATAATTCATTGTCCTGTCTGATTTGAAACTCAGTTTCTCATCTAAAACCTTGTGGGAGGAGATGTTAGATTACACGGCCATGAAGGGGTCCTACTTGCTTCGTCCCACTGTGACAGGATGACCAGTGCCACTACCAGCACTCTAGGGACATTACTGTCTTTTATAAGCCCTTCCTTACACAGTCAATGATATCAAGCCAGCCTTGGTTTTGACATGGGCTGTATCAAGGGATACAGAGGATCAGAGCTTAAGCAATTCGTTCGTTCATTCCCACATCCATCTAGTAATCCTGTATTGGTACCCACAGGGTGCCCAGAAATGCTCAGCTCCATCTCCAACCCAAGATGTTTATTTGTTTTATTAAATTGTTACTTATCTAATTGTTCGTGTGTGAGAATGTGGGTGGCACGGGTGTGTGGTTTTCAGAGAACAACTTCCGGGAGCTGATTCTCACCTCCCACCTTTTGGAGACAGGGTCTCTCTTGATGCTCCTGCTGTGGCAGCTGCATGTATTACCCCCCCCCCCCCCCCCGCCATCTTGCAGTAGGAGTGCTAGAATACATGCACATACAGATACACGTGTGCTGCCACATCCAGCTTGCTTTCTTTCTTTCTTTCTTTCTTTCTTTCTTCCTTCCTTTCTTTCTTTTCTTTTCTTTTCTTTCCTTCCTTCTTTCTTTCTTTTAAAATGTAGGTCCTGGGGGTGGAACATGGGTCCCAGACTTGCAAGGCTAGTTCTTTTACCCAGTGATCCATCTTCCATCCCCAGACCAGAGGATCTGTCAGCCCACATTTCCCTGGCCGAGGACTTTCCCCGGTTCAGCTCCAAAGCAGTTAACTGCCCCATACTGTCATCCCTTCCCTGTCCTCTGCCTAAGTCCACTGTGACCACCTGATCTGACACATTTGGGAGGCAGCTCCTGCCCTCCTCTAATAAGAACACCTCCTATTTAGGCCCCCAAACCCTGAGAAATAATCCCTTGTTTGCTTTACCTGAGGTGCGGCTGGGCCCCAGGCCTCTTAGCCAGAGCCTTCTGGATTCATTTTATATTCAGATCCACCTCCATCCCCATCCCAGCTCTTCACACCTTCCCAGCCCCCAGCACCTCCAAGTGCTTCCGTGGACAGCTGTGGGCAGCCATGGCAACAGAGAGAGACATGGGTACAGGCAGCAGGGGTGGCCTGGTGCATCAGTCTGGGTGCACTTGGGCAAGGACAGTGAAGGCACAGGAGCAGAGGGAAAGGGGTGGGGAGGTACCAGGGAGCATGCATGGCAGAGGTACTTGTTGGGGGAAAGCCAGCTGGGGTCTATGTCAGACTGAATGGGCCGGTGTGTGGCTCCATGTGTGACCCTCCCAGCAGCTGTCAACCTGCATTAGCACACACATGGGCAAGCCTACACTTATACTCAAGAGGCAGCAGGGTAGAAGGGAGGGTGGAGAAACATACTGCGGGGGCGGGGGTGGGGGGACAGAAGAGGTTTCTGGTCTGAGCTTTGCTTGTTGGATTTCTAAGTGTCCGCCCCCACTTGGGGCCTCAGTTTCTCCATGCCTAACCCGAGTGTGTTGAACTAGAGATCTCTAAGGACCTTTGGCGGCTCCAATATATATGCTCCAGTTCCTTGATGTTTTGCATGTGATAGCAGACTCAGAAAGGCTTTCTTCCTGAAGGAGAAACACCAGGGAAAGGCATGCAGAACCGCCTCTGAAATATGGATGAAACTTCCATTACTCTGCCATAACTTCCGGCCCCCCGCTCTGTGTCTTCTTACAACCAAAGGGAGGGCAGAGACGAGGGTGGGCTGTGTCTGGTTAATGAGGGGTGCGGCAAGAGATTCCAGCAGCAGCCTTGGACCCAGCGTTGTTTTTAGTTCCCTTAGGTTCCTGAGGTTGCTTTAGGTTCACAGACACGGTGAAGAAGCTGCTAAAGAGTCTAGAGAACCCTTGCCTGGCAAATGGACACCATTTTGTCTAGCGAGGACTTAAGGGCAGAAGTAGTGTAATGTCCAGTGACATCTCTGGAGGTTCATAAAGAACGTGGTACTTTTAGAAGATGAATAATACAGGATACACATAGCAGGGTTTTTGAAGATAACTTCATTTGTGAGTTACACAGGATTTTAAATCTGAATTATTACTAAAATTGTATTGGGTGTGGCTTAGGAATTATAGGTGGGGGTGGAATCTCCCCATACAGCCAGCCATTGGTACCACTGCTGCTGAACTGATTTTTAGTCTTGATTCCCGCAGGCTTCCCTCGATTATCCTAAGCAATACATCCGATTCTCCTATGCCTCAATTGCCTTCTATATAGTGATGGGGAGGTGGGGAAAGGGGTTAAGAATGGTTTCCTCTGCCCCAACATCTACCTAGCCAGCTCTCCTAAGGAGTAATTCCATTATTCTTATAAGACCTTGAGCTGTGGGGTCGCTGCTGAAGAAGAGGTCAGCTCCGTTCACGCTGCAAGGGGAAACAAGAGGCCCAGACTGCACACCACGGCAGGCAAGCGCTTTCCTAGCCTTCATTTGAGGTCAGAGAGGTACAGAGAGGTCAGGGGAAAGTGAGTGGCAGAATCAGGCCCAGGCAGTCCGTTGGGATCTTAGTGCAATCAATACTCTTCCACTGCCCCCCCCAACACCTTATACAATTAATTTACCTCTAGAGGTTCTAGAAAAATGGGTGGGAACTAAAGAGAGCTCTCAAGATCCACAGCTGGGTCTGAGAAGGTTAAATTCCCAGCTGGAAGCATTCAGCGAAGCTTCCAAAAATCGGGCAGTCCTTACAACTTGCAAATACGTACTTCAGGCCACAGGAAATGATCCCAGACCACAAGGCCCGGGGATTGCACCAGAACAGTCCTGCCTGCGTGTCAGCACCGTGTGGAAGCAGCAGCTTGGGTGAGAGTGGCTGCGAGGCATCCTACAGACTTCAGGATTTAGATAGACCTGGCTGGGGTGTACGCCCAGCTCTGTTATTCTCTAACCTCCTCCTCAACGCCTTCGAGACCTGACAATGATGGACGGTAGCCACTCGAGTTTCTGCAAGGCCCCACTGGCCTGGTGGATGTTCCAAAGGCTTTCAACTGCCACTCACTCTGTGCTGGAAATGCCGCAGGTACACATGTACTCTGGGTAACCAGAGGAGGTAACTCTGGTTGTGGCCTAAGCCTCCGGTTTGGGGAAAAGCAGGGGAAAGGAGACAGGGTGCTGCGGGTGGGGGTGGGTATAGTGGGAGCTGCGGGGGTCCCGCAGCGACCTTTCCTGCTCTGCTGACCAGCGGGTTCTGAGGCAAGGCTGAGGCCTGCGGGTAGGAATGCGTTTCCACAAAGCCGCTCCACCTCACCCGAGTTGGCGGGACCGCGTAGGTGCTAGGGGACTGGGGACGGGGCGGAGACAGGCCTCTGGCCTTTTCTCTGGGAAGAATCTCCTTCCAAGAGGGTCCTGCTAGAACCCAGGATTTCCATTTCAATGCTCCCTGGCAAGCTGCCCTCCTCAGAACTCGGCTAAAGGCTCGCGGAAAAGCCTTTAAAAACACACTAATTACAAACAATTCCTGGGCCTTTCCTGATTTCCCTCCACGCGGCTCTGGGGGCGGGGCGGGCCGAGCGCCCAGGGGTCATTTACATGCGCCTGTTGCTGCTCCGTGTGTGAAAGCCCACGCCAGCAGCCACATGCTGACCCCAGCGGGCCAGGACTTGAGCTCTTGTTTCCTTCCGGGTCCTTGAAGGCCTCACTGGATGCGGTGGTGGTGGTGACCGTGGTGAGTGGAGCTGAGGGAGCCTAGAGCAGGCACCTGGACAAAGGCACCATGGCTCCAGGAGCCTGTTGTAAGGACGCCAGAACAGGTCAGGCATCACCTGCCCTCAGCGGCCTGGATCCCAGCTGCGGGCCCTCAACCCTGGCATCATTGCTAGGGGGCTTCGGGTAGTTGGCCTCTGCCATGGTGCCACAGGGCAGTGGTGAAGGTGGACTCTGGCCCACCTTCTTACCTCCTACCTCTGATTCCCCAGAGAGAGAGGGGGGGGCTGTTTTAAATAGTTCCTGAGCTGGCCAAGACCAACAAAACCCCTTTCGAAAGGTTCTGAACTGTTCTAGTCTAATCTGGAGGAGCCTCTGGGGAATTCTGACAAAAGTCATGCTCACACTGACCGCTGTAGGCAGAGCCCCTCTGGAAGGGTCTGGAGGCTGAACGAAAGAAAACTATTCCAACTGGCCCCAGTCCATTGTTCTTGAAAGGAATGTGAGACCTTGGGAGAAGAAGGGCACTGGCTCCTGCCTCTGGGGCCTTTGGCGGATAGTAACAACACTCTGAGCGTGTACTCTGTGCCTAGAGCCTGTTAAATATTCACGGAGCGTGTTAAATATTCACTCATTTCATCTTTTAATCAGCCTCATGCTGAAGAAACAGATGCTCGGAGAAGTCAAGGCACTTGTCAAAGATCACAAACCGGTAGGTAAAGAAACTAGGTTTGCATCTCAAAAGAATAGGCAGAGGTGAATAGATGGAGGATGTCGATGCCCTCTTGCCTCCATACAGGGGAAAGGAAGCAGGGGAGAAGGATGTAAATATTAAAAATAAACTGCCTTGAACCCAGATGCCTCCAGAGTCTTTATCACTGATCCTCAAGGTCAAATCTGAGAATGACTGCTGTCATGTATTAGTGCCTGCTCACGTGTCAGGCATTTGACACCGGTACCTCTCAATTAAGGTCCTCATCAATTCTACAAGATAGACCAGATCGTCTCAGTCTTTTTTTATATATTTATTTATTTATTATGTATACAATATTCTGTCTGTGTGCATGTCTGCAGGCCAGAAGAGGGCACCAGACCTCATTCCAGATGGTTGTGAGCCACCATGTGGTTGCCGGGAATTGAACTCAGGACCTTTGGAAGAGCAGGCAATGCTCTTAACCACTGAGCCATCTCTCCAGCCCCTCGTCTCAGTCTTATAGAAGGGGCTGTAGAGGCATGGCGGGTAGGTGACTTTTTCAAGGCCCTAGAGTTGGTAAGCAGCAGAGATGAGACTTCAGCGTTGGCTCTGTGTTAGGTACTCTCCTAAATGAAGCATGGGCATTCCGCCTGTAGCATCTATGTGAGGCTTGGAGCAAGCATGCGAGAGTGGGCTGCTCCTATCTGCAGACAGCATGACCAACCACCTCATTTCCATCCCTCTTTCTTTGGCAAATAACTTCCCCAATCCTCCTTGCGTTCTCATCAGACTACTAGCTGGAAGGAAGTGGGTCTTACTGAAGGCCTTATGTGCTGAATGAGTGTTGGATGTCAGGCTCTGATGCTTCTGAAAGGACAAGTCACTGTCCCATTTGAGCCATGTTTACTCAGTCCCAGGAGTGAAGCTGGTCAAATAACAGAATCAGATGGAGATGCCTCTTGTCAACTCTAGAGGACTTTGCGGAGGTGAGTGGGCACTCGGAGATGAAGGCTTCCATCCCCAGCATGCTGGCATGACCTCATTGCACATGTGTCCACCACATGCGTCGGCACCACTACTGAAACATACATACCAGCGTTGGTAGGCTTCACACAGATGGGTGGGAGGGGATTGTCCTTGCCCCTGAGTTGTGTCTCCTCCAGACAGCCATCCCATAGCTCCTTTAATCCTTCCTTTCAGGGCAAAATGTCCAGACCTCCTCCCTACCTAGGCAGTTAGGGGAAGTAGAAAAATCACCTGGTTGGAATCTTGTAGACTTAGTTATTTTTGTTATCTGTTTATTTTGTTTTCTCTCCTATCAGGTGCTGGTGATGGAACTCAAGGCCATATACAGCCTAGACAAGTATGGTACAGGAGAAGTGGCTCAGAGGTTAAGAGCACTGCCTGCTCTTCCAAAGGTCCCGAGTTCAATTCCAAGCAACCACATGGTGCCTCACAACCATCTGTAATTAGAAAAATAAAATAGTACCACTGAGCTACTGGACACCCCAAATCTGGAGTTAGTTAAATTAAGCATTTTTCTTCCAGATTTCTAGCTGTGTGAGTTTTTAAAAAATTCCTTCACCCCTCAAATGACAGCAATAATAATACTATCAAGTTCTTCTGAGGTTCATATGAAAAATCACGAAGAAGATACTTTTGTGTCAGATGCAAAAATAGGAAAACAAATACTCCCCCCCCCACACTCCTCAGGGTGGGGTGGGGGGGCTGAAATTGGAACTCAGGGCCTTGTGCATGCTAAGCACATATTCTACCACCGAGCTGCACACCTAGCCTAGCAGATATCTTGCTATCAAATAGCAAGGGGGAAGAGTCAAGCAATGGACAGAGGGTGTCAGTTGTGAAGTCAGTCAGGACTCTGGATCCCCGGAACAGGACCACTGATCTTAATCTTGGAGGTAGAGGTAGTTCGTACAGATGGTGCTTCAAGCAAGAATTACAGCGGATACACATGCAGCATTCCTTAAATTTATTTTTTTAGTTATATTGAAGCATATGTATGCATGTGCGTCTGTGTGTGGGCATGTGCATGTGAGTGCAGTGACTGCAGTTGGAGATATCAGACCCCATGGAGCTGTAGTTACCGGCAGTTGTGAGTCACCTCACACGGGTGATGGGACCCGAACTCTGGTCTTCTGCAAGAGCAGGTAGTATCCATCGCTTGCCATTCTAATGCTTCGTAGCTTTATCTAATTTAGTCTCTTCTGAGAGAAACCTGCCATTATAAAATAACTGTTTCTAGCCCTGTTTCACAGACAGGGAAATAAGACACAGAAGATGTAAGTCATTATCCTAGCTAGTTAATCAGTTTCCTAAGAACACTTTCTTTCTTTATATTTACTTATTTGTTATGTGTTTGTAGGCATGCATGCACATGTGTGCCGTAGTACGCATGTAGAGGTCACAGGACAACTTGCAGGAGTTGGTTCTTTCCTTCTCAGTGATCAGATTCATGTTGTCAGGCTTGGCAGTCAATGCCTTTACCCACTGAGCCATCTCATCAGCCCAACACACTCTTTTGTTGGTTTTGAAATCATTTCTGACTGTGGGGCTCAGACTGGTCTCAAATTCATGATCTTCCTGTTTCAGCTGCCAAAGTTCTGGGGTAATAAGTGTGGGTCACCCTGCCCAACGTGAGACTCAGAGAAAATTTACATTTAATTTGTTTTCCTTTTTGCAGCACTGGGAGTAGAACCCAGTCCTAGAGCCTTACATAATCTAGGCAAAGGAAGTTGTTTTATTTTTTTTTCTTCAACCACTGAGATACATCTGTCCCCAGCCCAACACTTTAGCCCCAGACTTTTTAGTATCCTCAGACCCAAGGTACCTATGTGAGTAGAAGTTTGCCTGTGGAAGTGGAAGCTGTGTGTGGAGTGTGAAACCAGCTCAGAAGTCTTGCTGGGGTTGGAGGATGAGTCAGGTGAATGGAGGTCGGAACTGAAGGGCCCCATCTGCCAGGTTTAGACAATGGGACTTGATTTGGGAGGCAGTGGAGAGTTGCTGATGGGTTTTCAGTGGTGAAGCACACGCAGAAAAGGTCTTAACTGTCTGTGATGTGGAGGCCTCTCAGAGGAGGACACACTCTGGTGGCAGAGGAACGATAAAGGCAGCATTTGTAGGGATGGAATGCTTGGGATGGGTTCCAGAGATATCAAGGAGGTAGAATTGGCCGGCCATGGTAATTAATTAGACATGAGAGGTGAGAGGAAGGAAGGCGCTAAGGTTTCTATCTAGAAGCCTGACTGGATTGCTGTGGGGAGATCCTGCCCCTAAAGACATGAAACTAGTATGGTCAAATGGTCCTGTGGGTCTTGTTTGAGGAGAGGCCATCTTTGGAGATGGCCACTGAACACATGTCTATGCAGCCTGACGTTTGGTAGAGCGAATAGTCCAGGCTGAGGTGATACAGGATTCACTTGCTGAGAACGGGGGAGAAAGCCACAGGCATGATTGAGAGGTCCCAGGGGAACATCTACAGGGAGACAAATTTTGAGAACAGCACTTGGAGGAGCTTGCAAAAGCAGGGCCTGGGAATGAAAGAGATTAAGAAAGAGTATGCAAAGTTCGGGGACCAGGAAACCCACACATGAGTGGACAGGTAAGAATTAGGGACTAGAGTGTCATGAAGCAGGAGCCACTCAGACATACCAAATGTGGCCAAGAAGCTTATAGTTTGTTTGCTATAATTAGGTTTTGGAGAGAGAGAGAGAGAGAGAGAGAGAGAGAGAGAGAGAGAGAGAGAGCGCTGATATAGTCAGGGAGTCTGACAGTAGTGGTCTAGAAAACTAAGGGCAAATAGAAAAGCCTAGAAGCCCAGTGAAGACCCTGGGGAAAGGAGAACAGAATGCCAGCTAGGGGGAGACACTAGGTCACAGGGGAAGCTGAGCTTGGCTAAGGGAAATGAATGCTAGTCTCTTCCCTCCTGGCTATTTTTCTCCCTGCCCCTCCTCCTGCCCCCCCAAACTTGGGTCTTTGCCCTGGGCATGCTGAGGTTTGTCTATGCCTTTCAAAGTGCCGGGTCCTCCACCTCTCCTCTGGCTCGCTCATGTCTTCCAGCAGAAACCTCCCTTCCTTGGCTTTGGACTAAGCCCCTGAGAGAGCTGATGAGACAGCAATTAGACCAGTTGCAACGGCCATGCGTTCACATCTCTGTGCCAGGGCAGGCCTGCTGGCACCCTGCCAGATTTCTCTGGGCCAGCTTCACTGCATGGTCTCTCTCCTGTGTGACCCTACCACCACCAACAACCATGAAGGAGTATACCTGGGAATAAAGGCTAGAGGTACAGCCTTAAGTCTCGCCGCCCCCCCCCCCAAGAGTTGGGTGGCTATACACTCAAAAAGACAGGTACAACGCTCCCAGCCACAGCACCAAGCCAGTGCCCACCAGCTGAAGGGTAATCGAGGGAAAGGGCAAGGGTAGGGGTGGGCCTTCATCCCACGTTCCTGCCCTTCACATCTTCTGTGACTCAAGATGCTTTCTCTTTCCCAGGCTGCTGTGGCTGGCCCTCCACAAAGCTTCTAGGGGCTGCCAGGCCCTCGGGAGAAATCTGCCTTTGTTGAGCTGGTTCTTTGGGGCTTGCCTGCTGAGTTCTGTGGCCGCGAGGGTCTAATTTTCCACAGGCTTTTGGGCCTTGGTCACAAAGGTTTCATAGTCCTGAAGGCCATGCGTCTCATGTCTCCACCTAAATAAACTAGAGTACATTCTCTCTTCCTCTTTCACACTTGGACTTGACGTGGGCAGTCTCTGGCTTTGATCTCAGCTTCTCTGAGTTGATGAATCCTAGAGCTAGCATAAAACATTCGTCTATCACAGCAGCGCTTGGTGGGCTAAAGAGGGCAAATACTGGAGCTGCCACTGTACTCTCCAGCGGACGCCTCCCATCCTTACCGAGTAGAGTACCGCATGACTGCTTCTGCACAGAGGGACGTGCCGGAGGGACGGGATGCTCGAGACCAGCCCCACTCTCCCACAGCGCCATCTGGGGGAGCAGCAGGTCATCCTGAAGACTGGATGGGGGAGGACAAAAACATCACAAGCAGAGATGCAGCACAGTGTGTACGAAATGACACCAGGTCTTGGGAGGTGGGGAAGGAGGCAGAGAAACCATGAGAAGAGATCTGTGACACCCAGTGACTTGGTGTTTTTGAGAAAAAGGACCAGGCTTTGGGCATCTGTCCTTGCAGGGATGGATGGGACTCAGAAGTATGGGAAAGACGTCCTTGGGCGTGGTGATAGGAAAGCAGGGGAAACTGTGAGCTGCAGCTGGAGGGCAGGAATCAACAGTTGCTTGTGGCTTACCTGGCAGAGATGGAATTTGAAGTGGTTGGGTAGGGCTGGCCTATTAACTGGTACCAGAGGTCTGAAACTGTCTTCACTTCTGTAAACTGGGTATATAATAACATGTGCTTTATAGGCTTGATGTGTGGGAGAAATGGCAGCATGCCTATAAAAGGGCCTTGAAAATATCAAGGTCTATGCCCATGGGAAAGATTGGTGTTATTTGGCACCCTAGGTCTGGTCCTAGGTTCAAAGTTACCACCGTTAGGCTCCTGTAGCTGCCAGTCTTCGTCTTGCTTCTGATTACTGTTTACTTAGCATCTCCTCCCAGGGGGTGCCTGGAAGGCAGGCCTTATATCTCACTCCTGTCTATATGTTCAGGCACAGGCCCAGGAAGTCCCCAGTGATCAACATGCAAGTGTGTGCACACATGCAGGTGGAAAAGGGAACCAAAGGATCATGGATGAAAGTCCCGATAGCCATGCTTGAAGATGCCCCTGTGGGCAGATACGTCCTCAAGCAGGCCCCATCCACGAGGATTCCTAATGTACCTTTCTCTCCTGTGTGCAGACAGATACACATCTGCCCACAGGAAGAGTACCTTCACAGTTTCCTCGATCTTACAGCCCAAGAGGAGTGAGGCTCAGAGAGTCCCTGCACTGCAGTGGGCACATGCTTTCTCGGAACATGCCCTTGGCCCCGTAGCGCACATGAGGCCCCCTCGGCTGAGTGGCTTCTGCTCCGCATTGGACGCTACAAGGCATCTGTTTAACCTTGAGGAAGGCTCACAGAACTGGTCACTTGCTGGGAGGCCAGTCTTCCTCGTAGCGATGTTGGGGGAGGGGACATGAGGTGGGGAGCTGGAGGGCTTTAGAATTGAGGAGGGAAGGAAAACCTGATCAAAACCATGTCACAAAGAAGGGGGAAGGGGTGAAAGAAAGGAGAGAGAGAGAGAGAGAGAGAGAGAGAGAGAGAGAGAGAGAGAGGAGGAGAGGAGAGGTTTCCATTCACAAAGAAATCATTATGGTTAATTTAATTCATTGTAGCGTTTAATACAGAAAAGCTTTTCTACAGAGACTGGGCATCAGGCCAACATTTAGATATAAATGGGTTTTATTTTAAAAGCGAATGCAGCGAGGGGGGATAGGCTCAAATTGGTCCTCTCACTCCCACTC